CCTGCATCTGCATGGGAGACCTGGAAGAGGTTCCTGGTTCCTGGCTTCGGACTGGCTCAGCTCTGGCCGTTGCAGATACTTGGGGAGTGAATCAGTGGATGGAAGATCTTCTTCTCTGTCTCTCCTCCTCTCTGTATATTTGACTTTCCAATCCAAAAAAAAAAAAAAAAATCTTAAAAAAAAAAAAAGAATGCTGATTCTGGAGAGTATATGCTTCTCCATTATATGTATCTGGAACTTACAGATTAAGATTGAATGAAATCTTTTTTTAGATTCTTTTAATCTCAGTTCACTGTTAAAAAAAAACAAAGTAATATCTACTAGTACATAGGCTAATAAAGGTACAAAGAAAATAATGAGTTTTTTTTTTAAATATGAGTTTGAAAAGTAAATCATTACAATATTAATTCATAATAGTTTGTGATAAGTCAGGGATATAATTTTGGTGCATAACTACCTGCAAGAACATATGGCTAAAGAGCCAACAGAATAGGATGGCACACTCAAGAAATGCTAAAACAACCAAATGGATATGTGAAGTGAAGAAAGAAGAAATAAAGAACAGGAGAAAAACAAACAGCACAGCCTTTATTGTGGCATAGCACCGTCTTCAACACCAGCAGCCCATATAGTGCCACTAAGTTCCAGCTATTCTAGTTCTGATCCAGTTCCCTGCCTACATGCTTGGAAAAGCAGAAGAGGGCCCATGGTTTTCGGGTCCTGCAACCAACATGGGAGATCTAAATGGCGGTCTAGGCTTTTGATTTCTGCCCAGCCACACTTCGGCTGTTACATTAATTTGGGGAGTGGATCAATGGATGGAATTTCTCTCTCTCTCTTTCTTGCCTTTCCTTCTTGCTCTGCAGCTCTGCCTTTCAAGTAAATAAACTGAAATCTTAAAAAAAAATCAAGTTGTATTGGGGCTGGTATGGTGGTGTAGCAAGCTAATCCTTCATCTGTGGCACTGGCATCGTGGTTATTCTACTTCTGGACCAGCTCCTTGATAATGGCCTGAGAGAGCAGCAGAGGTCCAAGGTCTTGAGTACCTGCAGCCACATGGTAGAATTGCAAGAAGCTTCTGGCTCCCAGCTTTAGACCTGTCCAGCTCTAGCAGGTGTGGACATCTAGGGAATAACCAGCAATGGAAGATCTCTCTCTTTCTGTCTTTCCTTTCCCCCTACCCCCTTAACCCTGACTTTAAGTAAAATAAATAAATTTTTAAAAAAATCAAATAATAAGATAATCAGACTTAAATCCAATGAAACTATTAAGTGTAAATGACTCAAATATTTCAATTAAAATACAGAGATATTTCAGATCAGCTATTTTAAAAACTTTAAAAACTATTTTAAAATCTACCAATAGTTTCCTTAAATTATAAAGAAATATATAGGATTAAATCAAAAAGGATGAAAATAGATACACCATGCAAATTTATGTACAGAAGGAATTAGTGCACCTTTGAGTATTTTGATACTAAAACAAAGTAGACTTCAAATAAAGGAATATTTATTACTAGAAATAAACAGTCATTCATAATGTTATAATATATGAATACATCTTACTAAAAAGTATATAGCTATTCCTTGACTTATGTTCTGTCAAACCCAACATAAATTAAAAAGTCAAAACTACATTCAATACAACTAACCTACAGACATCACTGTTGAGCAATCCAATACATCATGGTACATCATGTTTACCCTATGATCTTAGACCCTATGATCTTTACCCTATGATTTTAGCTGTGACTTGCTGTTGCCAAGCAAGGAAAGAAAATAGTGACTATCACCAGCTCAATAAAGGTCAAAATTAAAATCTGAAGTATGGTTTCTACTGAATGTGTATCCTTTTGAAGTAGCTAAAAAATTATATGTCGACCCATTGTAAGTTGGGAATTATCTATACTTAAAAGCTGTTCATTCCATTGTAAATTGCATTGTAATTTTCAGTGGAAATCTGTCCAACTCCATTACAAATTACACTACGGTAAAAAAAAAAAAAATACATGTGAAAAGCCCTTGCCTTCAAAGAAATCACAACTTGGTTAAGTAAAATGACATAAACAAAGATATGCAAAATCAAAAAGTAATACAAAAGAAATTCAAAGCAGTATGGACCACAAATGAGAGTGGGAAGAAGGGGGAAAGAACTGCCTGCGAGCTTGAACGGATGGGAAAGCCCATATGGAAGAAAGTTGTTGGGGAAGTACAGCTACGGGGACAGAATGAGGGTGGGAAGAAAGTGTTGGGTAAAAGTATTGAGGGACAAGGCAGAAACTAACCTCCAAGTCCTCCCGCAGTTAACTCACTGATATTGACCGCTCGGAACAAGTCCACCCAATGGGAAGGAGTACAATCTTGTTTCACTAGATGAAAGTTGCAGATATTAAACTCCTTGCCTAAGGCTGTTGAACCTATAGGACTGGCTCTAGTGCAAGGAGCTGCGGGCATGTCAGACCCCAAAGCCCGAGTTGCTCCCAGGAAAGGGCATTTTCTATCTGAGACGACATTTGTTCAGCAACCAGCAAGCAGCTCTGTGGGAAAAAAAAAAGCCCTGGCCAGGTCCAGAAAGTGTCTTTTCTGAATTCACATGTTGAGCATTTTGCTCCACAGGAGGGAATAAACAGCTGACTCCACTCAAAGGGCTCTACTGATGTTCATAAACCATGAGGGTATTTATGTCATGGGCAGAGCTCCCCAAGTGAATTACAGCCTTTTACGCACTGTGTATGGTATTCACAGGACAAAGAAACAGGGCGTGTAAGGAATGCCACACTGACCCACCTCTCTTTCTGTGCTTTCTTTTTAAGCTTCTCCACCAATCTGAGACCTACACGTATGGGTAATTCTTTGGTTCTGTTTACCTATTACCTGGCCTTTTGACACAGTCCAGAGCAGTTACTCGGTTTAAGAATGGAGCCCTTAAACTAGCACGAGCTGCTGGCTTTCTCCTTTATTACAATTAGATGGATCCATCTTAGCTACAGTTGAAAGCAGATTTCTTTCATGTTACTTCAGATGTTTTCTTTAGGCTGGTGCTAACATAAAGCAAATGTCTCTTGAGACTCTGAACCAATCTGTTACGATAAACAGGCTTCGCTTACGACTTTCCTACACTGAAATCACAGGCTTGTGGTCTGTAACTCCTTAAAGACTCAGCTCATAATGCTTGAATGTCCACATAAGAAACACACACACACACACACACACACACCCCAAGATAGCTTTACCATGGAAACCACAAAGCCGTGTCTGTCTGAATCAGACTCCAGAGCACATACCACAAATAATGGCCCATCTTTTAAGGGCAGATTCTATGTATACACAGGGAAAGCCCAGAAAATTAAACGATTGCAATATTTCAAATATAAGACTTACTTTATGATTCCTTCCTTCAAACGTTTTTCAAGATAGGTAAGTCTTAATCACTAGTTCTCTTTGGGCATATTTAGGTTTTCTTTTTCCTTAGAATTTCAGATTTTGGCACCATGGAAAAAAAAGGAAAATACAAGGCAGGAAGGCAAAACAACTCACATCACTCTGGTGGGATCTGGATTTCTAGAGAAAATCCCATTGGTTTTGTTTAAAAGAGTCCCAAGTCTGTTCTAAGTGAAGGTCTCATGTTACAGAAAAGTATGAGAAAAGGCCTCCCAGGGAAGGAAGGAAACCAGGGGAGATGGAATAAAAAGCAAGAAGTCCTAATCAAGAACATTCTATGTCTGGAAGGCCAGGCTTTGTTAGTTGGGACTTTAAAATGTCAAAAGTTTGCTATGATAAAGGTTTTATCTCTCCTGCTGGGCTACAGATTCCATGAAGCCATGGACAATCTCTAATTTGTTTCTCATTATACCTCCAGCATGGAGCACGGTGCCTAGGACATAGTAGATGCTGGATTGTAAATACCGGGTGGATGACTGAATGAAGAGGATGTTTAATCGTCTTCAGTGATGCGATGCTTTGGATCTGATTACCCTTCAGCTGGGCTCACAGGTGTGAGCATATGGTTGTTCAGATGATACAGTAATAATCATATGCACTCTAGGATCTATTTTTGGAAACTATGATTTTGATCTACTGCCGCTTCTAATCTAGGAGGCCAGAGTTTGTGGAGACTGATGATACTAAAGTTTTACCTATGAAAAACACTGTTTATTTTCATATTTACATATTTCACATGATTGAGGGGGCAACCTTATACTCTGGGAAGTTGGTGGGCAACGGCTATATCCATAAAGTCCAAACTCCAGGTAGCTTTAACCTCCATCAGACCAACTATTTCCCTGGTGATTTTAATGGCTCTAAGCAGTCCAGGAATAAAAGGTCCCACTTTGGGCATTGGCTGTGGTTCATAATATAGAGATACAATGAGATAACCAATTCAAACAGATGTTCCCTATGAAAAAATGACTACTGAATTCAAGTATCATCTAATTAGCAACATTTCACTTTTTGTTTTTATCATCACCTGCATTTTCCAATTAAACATATATGAAAGGAGCTGCCCAAATTTTCATCATTGCCACCACCTACCCATAATTTTAATTCCTATTTTTAGTACTTTTAAATAATAATTTCTAATATTTAATACTTCTTTAGAGAGTAAGATTTTCCATAAATTCCACAATCCATTTTTAAAAGCAGTCATGACTAGTTTTAAAGATCAACAGTAACAGTAGCAAAAGGAAACCCTTGCAGATGTAGGTCAGTTTCTTCCTGGTGAGGTTAGATAAGGGAATTGGCAAACATTTTCTGGAAAGGGTCAAGCAGGAAATATTTCTGTGCTGCAGCCATGTGGTCTTTGTTGCAACCACTTTCTCTGTTACTGTAGCATGAAAGCAGCCACAGGTGATAAGAAACCAGCATTGCTGTGCTTCAATAAAACTTTTCTTGCAAAAACTGGCATGAGACAGGATTTAGCCAGTGGGTAGTAGTTTGCCAACCCCTAGAGTAAAAAAAAAAAAGTTCCTCCGTATGGAAGACCATGACAGGTTGACTTACTTTGCTCTTTTGGCCATTTCATTTCCATCCCATCTGGGGCTGTATGGATAATTTTTCTGAGCTTGGGAGTAAAGCTGTCCACTGTTGGTAAAATGATAAACGGACTGAAATGTGAGAGTTGGCTGGTCTCGAGGGAAAAACAGGGGCAGGTCAACTGTAAAGACAGAAGAAAAGAGAGTTAGATCTAAAGCACTTCTTATGGCAGTGTTTTGCTAAATTACAAGGTTGTGTACAAGACTTATAAGACGGTATTTGAATCACAAATACTGGTTGAGGTTTAGATAAAAGGTATGGGGAAAGGACCAAGAAATGTAAGGGGTCTTTCCTGCTACTTTCCAAAATTTTATCATCTCCAGTGGCAAATGTAACTCACAGGCTAGTGTAAGCATCAGAAGGTGTGGTCTGCAGATGCGGACAGAGCACTAGAGGCTCAGGGCAGAGGTAGGACCAACACCCCTGCCTTCCGAACTTCTCGATCACTTACCTTGTCCAGTATTCTATCTCAGGGTTAGCTGGGCTCTTGTTTAGTATCTGTAATACTTTAAAGGGCTGTAGAAGATCTTCCTCATCTAGAATTTGATGGAGGAAGTGGGCTTGAGGCTGTTTTCAAAGAATGAGTTTGAAAAAGGGCAGGTGAGGGCACGTGAGGACTGTTCTATTTCACAGGACATGACAACTACATCACCAGAAAAGAAAGTCACCACTCTACTTCCAATCAAGCTGCACATTTTGATACTCAGCAGTTTCCATTTTCTCCCATATGCGCTGCCACGTGTATTTATATCTCCTAAATCAGTGGGAGTTCCTGAATGGAAGGCAAAGGTGGCAAATCTAAGGCACTAAATACGTCTCCTGTCACAGTGTAGGCTGATTCTAATCTTTGCTGTTAACACATATTACGTGTCTTACCTTTTCATCTTGGGGTTCCTTTAAACTCAATTTTTAAAAACAAGGTGACTTGCTATTTTTAGTTGAGGCAAACCATCATGAAAAACCCAGATTGCTTCAACAGCACATGCTTAAATATGTATAATGTGTATTCATGTGATTGCTACACATTTGCAGGACAAAGAACAGCTACATTATTAAAAAATAACAAGAAAATATGTACAGTAGCTTCTAGTCTCACAGGGTACTTTAATGTGCTTTATCTGTTACTTAAAATTCCATGAAAGAGATATTATTTTGCCGTCTGCATTTAACAGATGAGCAAACTTGAGACTTCAGAAAGTTTTTTAACTTGCTTGTGTTATGGCTATGCAGAACTAAGACTCAAATCTAGTCTCATGAGTCAAACCCCAGGTTCCTACCATGCCACACTCCCTTCTCCTGGTTCTGAAGCCGCAGGTGTGACTGTTACAACTCACCCATCATGTTCTAATCACAAGGTTATAACTGAAGGGAAGTCTCCACTGTGAAAGATGCACAGGTTTGTCTTATCGGCTGAATGAAGTGGAAATATTTTTAAAATATGCCCTATGCACTCTAGATAATTCTGTGTCCATCGCCGTTTGGACTAGGCCCTCTATAGTACTTAATATGATTCTTTAAGGAAAAGGTTTACAGCCAGCTTTTAAAAAGAAAAACCAACCAAAAACTCCCAAGAAGCAAAAACTGTCCAGTTGGTAGGGCCTCCTTGCCCTCTGAGTATACTTGACTCTGATGATGTCTGACTCAGCCCTGCAGGGGGTTTCTACAGATGAATCACATTACAACCAAAGAAAGGAGGCAAGATCGTGAATGTCCACTGTTTAGTCACATTCTTCAAGTGCCCAAAATAAGACATTCTTAGTCTATCTATTTATATCCAAGAAGTTTTCAGAATATACAGGAACAACAGAAACCATGAAACAGAGTAATTCAAAGTCTACATATTTCCACACAGAAACCCCTTTTTGAATCCTTTAAAATCACAAAGCATAATCTGTAACATCTTCAGTCACTCTGAACAAATAGAATTTTTGTAAGTTCTTGGATAACTCATTTCATGTCCTTTGATTCATTTTAGGGGAAACAGTGCCTATCCACAAAGCTTTCATTGTTGTTACATTATAGAGAGTTCCCAAATACAAGATTCAGATAAACTCCAAAATAACCATTAGTAGCAGGAAAGTGTTTAACACGTGAAGTTCCCTATAAAAAAAAAAAAGCAATGCTTTTAAATACCAGAATCCAAAGGCACTTATTTAGAAAGTTCAAGTAAAAACAGTCAGTGCTCAGGACAAAAGCAATGCAGGCAATGTCACAGGCTAGATGACCTCAAGCTACCAGCCTTGGGGAGGCTTTAGACTGCATCACTTTTTGTTCTCACTGCTTTATAGAGAATGAATTTGCTGGTATTTGTATTTGTTATACTAAACAGTAAATTTTCTACCTGTTTCTGAGACATTTTCTTTTATCCCCCCCCACTCAATTAGCATCAGAAATCATTCAGAATGTGAATAAAATTCACATTACATTCAAATTCACATTATGTGGCCAAGTGAGTTGTCCTGATGCTTTAAAAATGGCAGCAAGCTACAGGCTGATAAGCACCATAATCAGCTTCCCCCAAACACTGATTACACAATTTTTTCCTAGAGAGATTGATCTAACTAAATGGTTGAAACCAGGACCAAATTTGAGTACTTCTGCCACTGCAGTACATTGGGTCAAATTGCAGCATCCCATATGTACACCAATTTGAGTCTTAGCTGCTTCACTTAAAAAAAAATTATTAATTATCATTATTATCATTTTATGAAACAGTTTCATAGGCTTTGAGATTTCCCCTATTCCCACCCCAAAGCTCCTCCATGGGTCTTAGCCACTCTGCTTCTGATGTGGCTCCCTGTTAATGGGCTTGAAAATGCAGCAAAATGGCCCACGTGCTTGGACCACCACCTTACATGGAGACCTTTATGGAATTCCAGGCTACTGGCTTGGGTTGGCTCTGCTCTGCCTGTTTTGGCTACTTGGAGAGTGAACCAGCAGAGGTAAGGTCTTTCTTTCTCTATCCATGCCTTTCAAATAGATACACAAGTCTTAAAAAGAAATAAATCAAATACTTTTTCTGGATACACAGTAACTGATTAGGTAAACAGAAATGGATAGAGCACCTCAGAGAGTCAATCAACAATTCACCTGTGACTTCACATTAGGAGACAAAATATACAGAATATCAACTATTTTGCTCAACTTCAGCTGTACCTTATCTATATCATTCATAAAAATGTTTTATTCATAAGAATGAGTTAGCATCTAATATCATAATGAGAAACAGTTTTTCTTACAGAAACAATTCAGATGGTATGGACTAACCCAAATTTTTAAAAGGAAAAGCATGTTTTATTTATTCCTAAATATTTGTGCCACTTAAATTTTGCTTACAGGTTCACTTGTGATTTTATCATGCATAGTTAAGTAATTACCTTACACTTTGACACAGCTAACTTACTCTGCAGGAGCAATTTGGGCTCATATCTCTATCAACATCAAACAGTGTTATTTGCCTCCTTAGAACCCACTGGCTCCAGTTTGATTCCTGGAGTAGGATCCTTCCCTTTGGTTCAGTTACTTATGTGTAGGTATTATTTCGACAACCGCTTCTTACTTTCTTTCTTTTACATGGAGGTAGGAGTTTGGTCAGCTCTCTATCCCAGGAGGAGTGGTCCTTGCTTGTTCAGTAGAACGTCAACAACCATTTCTGAAGCACAACTCTCCTTGAGGACTTGTTGAAACAAATCCCACCAGACACTGCTGGTTCTGCACCGACTGAGCAGTTCTCAGGACACACTCCCAGCGCTCCCGTGGCCCGGGGGAGGTGGAAGGAATCAGCTCTGCAGCCAGTCTTATTCCAGACAGCTGCTGTTCTTGATGGTTCACTGGGTGCTGTTGGCACTCACAGGCAATGACCAGCTGGGCAGCTTTCATGGGAAGCTAAAGGCACTGAAAAATTGTGTTGTCTTAGTTCCAGGGGTGGGGAATGTCTGTCCTGTGGCCAGTGTGAGGCCTGGGACATCAGGTGGGTTGGCCTGGCTGAGGCAATCACAGGTGGAACTCAAAATTTAACACATCTTTGACAGGCTCATTTTTAAGTTGACCGTTTTGTATGGTCTGGGAATGATGTTATAAACATCCAAATGACCCTTGGCAGAAACAGGTTCCTCACTCCTTCAAGGTGAGGCTCAGATGGCTGACTGCAGTATTAAGCTTCCTTAGTAACAAGCTCACTGCCCCTAATCATTCACTGTTTCACCATAGCAGATTCCAGTAATGTATATCTAAGTTTAGTGATGCTTAGCAACTCCTCACCCCTCCAGAAACTTCTGGAATTGAAAACCAAACAGAAAGCAGTGAAAAGAAATGCCACACCACACAACTCACTCAGGGGATAGTCTGTCAGCTGCTTACATTTCTAACAAGCCTAGTTATATGATTATTACAGGAAAAAAAAAACATGTTAATAGCAAGACGAGAACAAAGTGCTTAAAGGCAAGTACTAAGAGCTGGCAGTCTTGTACAAACAGGAGAACCTAATGGTCAACACAGAAATTATAGGGGCAAAGAGAATCCCAGGCTGCACCCCTTCCTCCTCAGCTAGGCCGACAGTGACCCTGACCCTAAGGAGTCTTGGTAAATGGCAGACACCCTTGGGTGTCTACCCAACCTTTTTCTCCTTCCTTCTTTCTGATCAACAGTGCCCTTCCTCCCACCCCAGTTTCAAGGGGTTGAGTCCTAATGCCCTTACACCTTCATAAACCAAGGCATGGAAATGTGATTCACTTCTACCACTGGGACCTGAGGGGAAGTCAGCAAGGGGTCTTCTGAGAGCTATTTTCCTCTCTGGTTAATGACATGTGGAAGCAGCAGTCCCCACAGCCACAGATCTCATCATGTGAGGTCTCGAGGCATGGCACTATTGTACCCATCTTACGAGCAAGAGGAGATGGTTGGCTTGGAATCAGTGAGCTATGCACTCTTAGTCCCTGGAACTGCCCAGCTCTGGGTTTCTTACTGATTGAGACAATTCCAAGTTTATTATTTAAATCTCTTTTAATCGAGTCTTCTCACATTTGCAGTCAAAGGCACTTGAGGAAATGTTACTTCTTGTAGTTTCTGTCCAAGAAAGTGGAATAGTTGTATAGTCTACTTCAGAAATATTTCCACCAAGCT